ATTCTACCAAATCTTCACAAGAAGAACACTGAAATTAGTTCCTTAGTCTATAAATAGAAGGAAGAAATGCTAACAAACATTCTGAGTATGACCAGACAGTATTATCCTGATACAATACCTAGACTAGAGAGACACACATAAAAAATTTCCTTGATGAACATGAGATAAAAAATTTTAAATGAAATACTTGAAAATTAAAAGTAATAACACATCAAAAAGATTATGCAAGCTGGGCACAGGCTAAGAATTGAGAATCATGGTTCAAAGCCAGCCCAGGGAGGAAAATCCAAGAGATTCTTCTCTCCAACCATCATAAAACTAGTAGTGGAGCTGTGGCTCAGAGTTGTAGAGCACTACCCTTGAGCAAAGAGCTCAGGAACAGTGCCCAGGCCCTCAGGTCAAGCCCATGATTACACACACACACACACACACACACACACACACACACACACAGAGAGATTATACACAATAATCAAGCTGATATCATTCCAGAGTCAAGCCCATGATTACACACACACACACACACACACACACACACAGAGATTATACACAATAATCAAGCTGATATCATTCCAGAGACACAAGGAAGGTTCAAATACAATCAATAAATGTTATATAACACATAAAGTATTAAGAACAAAAATCATATTATCATCTCAATAGTGTAGAAAAAACCTTTTACAAAATCAAATATCCTTTCATGATAAAAACCTTGTACAAACAGGAATAGAGGGAATGTACCGCCACATACTAAAGAGTATATAAGACAAACTGTAGATGACATTATACTAAGCAGGGAAACACTGAAATCATTTTCCACTAAAAGCAAGAATAAGAAATAGTGTCCACTCTCCCCAGTCTTACTCAATATAGTACTAGAAATTCCAGCAGGAGCAGTAAGGCAAGAAAAATAAAAGGAATTCAAACAGAGAAGAAAGAAGTTATAAACAGTATCCCTATTTGCATATGATATGCTCCTATATGCAAAATACCATAAAGAGTCTATCAAAAATCCCCTCAATCTGATAAATATTATCAGAAATGTAGCAGGATATAAATTTAACATATAAAAATTAGCAGCTTTTATTTATACTAACAATGTAAAATATGAGAAAAAAATCAGGAAAATAATTCCATTCATGATTGCCAAAAAACGAACAACTGTTAACAACAAAACAAAATAAAATACCTAGGAATAGACTTAACCAAGCAAAGAGCGTCACAATGAAAATGACAAAACCCTTTGTTTTGTATAAAAGTTTATCTGATTTGGACAGGATTGGGGAGCACAGAAACTGTGAGACCAAAGGTGAACCAACTCAGCAGTGAAACCCACTAGATACTATGTTGGAAATTAACTATACAATTTTGGGGGGAAGTTGGGATGGGAAAAACTGGGAGAGAATGAGGGAGGAGGGAGTGACACTGTTCAAAAGGAAATGTACTCATTACCTGATTTACGTAACTGTAATCCCTCTGGTACATCACCTTTACAATAAAATTTTTAAAAAATAAAGAAAATGACAAAACTTTTAATTAAGAGTGAAACTGAAGACACTAGAAGACAGAAAGACCTTCCATATGTTGATGGGTTGGCAGTATTAATTTCATGAAAATGGGCTATATAACTAAAAGCAAACTACAGATTCAATGTAACTCACATCAAATCTCAATGTCAAAAATCAAAAATGTCAAAATCAGTCTTAATAGTCATATAAAAACATAAAAGATCCCAAGTAGCAATAATAATCCTTAGCAAAAAGAGTAACATTGAAGGTATCTTAAAACTTGACTCTAAGTTACACTACAGGGCCATAGTAACAAACTTAGTATGGCACTGGCACAAAAACTGACATGTAAAAATAAAGAAAAAAACTTCATATGGAGACCAATGGAACAGAGCAGAAGATCCAGAAAAAAATTATACACAGATCCAGCCATCTGGTTTTCATCAAAGGTACCCAACACATACACTGGAGAAAAGACAACCTCTCCAACAAATGATTGTGGAAAAACTGCATATCCTCATACAGAAGACTAAACTATCACCCTTTACAAAACAATTAATTCAAACTGAACTAAAGATCTAAATGCAAAATCTGAAACTTCTAAACTATTACAGAAAAATATACGGGAAACCCTTGAAGACATAGGCCTTTCTGAATACTCCCATTGCTCAGAAACTTAGAAATGACAAATGAGATTTATAAAACAAAAAAACAAAAACAACCAACAACAACAAAAAAAGTTCTGTACAAACTAGGTACTGATGGCTCACACCTCGAATTCTAGCTACTGAAGAGGCTGAGATCATGACTGTGGTCAAACCCAACTGGAGCAGGAAAGTCCAAAACTCTTAGCTCCAATTAGCCACCAAAAAGCTGGAAGTGGAACTGTGACTTAAATGGTAAGGTCTTAGCCTTGAGAAAAGAAAAGCTAAGGAGAGTGCCTAGACATTGAGTTCAAGCCCCAGTACTGGCAAAAACAAGCAAACAAACAAACAAAAAATACTCTGTACAGCAAAGGAAATAATTACCAGAATTAAGAGACAACCTACAGGGAAGAGGAATAACAAAATGCTGAAATAAGGATACAGGATGACCCATTGCAATAATGATACTCACAAGACACTATGTTGGAAATGAACTTTACAACTTCTTGGGGGGGGGGGAAGGGGGGGGGGGGGGGGGGGGAGAGATGGGGGAGGGAAGGGATAGTAGAAGAAAAACAAAGGAGGGGGTAACAATGTTCTACAAGAAATGTACTCATTAGGGCTGGGAATATGGCTTAGTGGTAGAGTGCTGCCTAGCATGCATGAAACCCTGGGTTCAATTCCTCAGAACCACATAAACAGAAAAAGCCAGTGATTCAAGTGGTAGAGTGCTAGTCTTGAGCACAGAGAGGCTCAGGACAGTGCCAGGCCCTGAGTTCAAGCCTCAGGACTGTCAAAAACAAATAAACAAACAGAAATGTACTCATTACTCATGTAACTGTAACCCCCTGTGCAGCATCCTTACAATAAAATAAAACTGAAAAGAAAAAGAACTGGGTGCTGGTGGCTCACGCCTGTAATCCTAGCTACTCAGGAGGCTGAGATCTGAGGATTACAGTTCAAAGCCAGCCGGGCAGGAAAGTCCATGAGACTTTTATCTCCAATAAACCACTCAGAAAACTGAAGTGGTGCTGCGGCTCAAGTGTAGAGTGCTAGCCTTAGGCTGAAGAGCTGAGGAACAGCATCTAAAGCCCAGAGTTCAAGCCCCACAACCGACCAAAAAAAAAAAAAAAAGACACAACCTACAGCATGGAAGAAAACCAGAAACCAGCTACTCATCAGGAAAGAATTAATATCCAGAATATATAAAGAGCTCTAAAAATTAAACATCAAAAAAGAACAATCCAATTAATGGTCAAATGAGTTGCAGACAGTTCTCAAAAGTAGAAATGGTTAATTAATACACACAGGAACATATACTTAGCCATTAAGGAAAAGCAAATCAAAACTACACTGAGATTCCATCTCATCCTAGTCAGAATGGCAGTCATTAAGAAAACAAATGCCAACTAATACTGGCAAAGACAGGAGTAGGTGAGCAATGTAAATTAGTGCAAGCCAATATGGAAATTTGTATGGTGGTTCAAAAAAAACACTGTATGATTTTGTTACACGACTGTTGCACATATATCCTAAAGAACGTAAGCTAGCACACACTAGAGATAACCACATTTTATAGCAGCACTATATTCACAAAAGACAAACTATGGAGTCATGAATAAAGAAAATGGGTATATATACAGAACCAAGTATTATGTAGCCCTAAAGAATTATATTGTTTGCAGGAAAAATAGCTAGAACTAGAGATCATGTTGAATGAAATGAGCCAGACTAAGAAAGACAAATATTACATGTTTTCTCATATTCTCTTATATGTGGAATCTACACTTTAAAATTAAAGAGTGGCATCAATGTAAAATGGAGACTGGAAGTGGGAACAGCAGGAGTGAGGAGGGTAAACAGAGAGGGTGAAGGGGATGTGAAGATCATGGAAGCATTTCATTCTTTCTCTTGTATGAAAATAGAAGGAACCCTGTTTAAATCGGTTTTAAAAGGGGGGAAAGAGGATACAAAAGAGAAAGTGAATGTGATCCAAGTGTATTATATGCATGTATGGTATGGAAATATCACAATGAAAGCCTTTTGTATAACTAATGTACACTAATGAAAATAATTAAAAGGGCTGGAGGCATGCTTTAAGTGGTAGTTGCCTAACAATCATGAATCCCTGGCCACCTAATAATAATAATGAAAAGAAAAAGATACAGTTCCAGGTAGCAAGAGCCCATTGAGTCTCTTTCCCAGTCCCAAGTGTACCTGTGGAGGCTATGTGATAAGAGTTCTGGCCAATAAAAGTAGAATATCATTATTTAGCCTTACCAGTATGTACAGGGCCTATAGAATCTTTTATAGTTTGACGTTATTAAGAGATGAATTGTTTTTCAAAAATTTATAGTCTTGGTGGACCCACTGCAACAATGAGATGTACAAGATGTTATGTCGAAAAATGAACTTTACAATTTTGGCCAGGAAGAGGGGGGGAGGGGGGAAGGGAGATAGGAAGGGATGGGAAGGGAGATAGGAAGGGATGGGAAGGGGAAACAAAGGAGGAGGCAACAACGCTTGATCAGAAATGTACTCATTACCTTGCCTGTGTAATTGTAACCCCTCTGTACGGTATTTTCACACACACACACACACACACACAATTTAAAGTCTCTACTTTCAGCAAGCAAACATTCCATAAAACCAGAGTGATTAAAAATTCTAGCAGAGGTGGGTGGTGGGGAAGGGAATTGATAAACAAAAGACACTGGTTATGAGGGAAACAGAAGGAGTAATCAGATCTGTTTTCAGGGAGGGTGTAGCAAGAATTCAGTCTCCCATAATTAGTACCCTTGATATCCCAATCCTCTGCACATTTCCTCTAGCCCAAATCCCTTCTCACCTTTAGAGATTCAATCGTAGCCTGCTTGTAAATCTTTCCTCCAGTACCTTTCTTCTGTGGGCTATTCTGGGTTCTAGGAGTTCGAATGACAAACTTATCCATTGTTAGGACTCCAACTATTTTCCCGTGCTTGCAGCGTATTCTGCTCAAGAAAGATGGAAGATTCTAAAATTTCACCAACACTGTTGTGCTGTGTATTCCCCAAAATGACAGGACGGGGTTTTAAGGAAACATTCCTAAATTATGGCCACTCTTGGGTGGTATTAACAGGGGTAAGCTTTTCTACTGGGCTTGGGGAAACACTTCCTAAGCACTGAAAGTGTATACACTAGTCGTTCTACTTCTGGGTTAGGAGTTCCTAGCTTCCAGAAGTGCAGGGAAGTGCGGGGGGCGGATGGGACTGGTTCACAGCAGATCAGGCGCTAAACCTGACTTTAAAACCCTCTTCCACGCTTAGAATGGGCTGGGCAAGATTGGGGTTCCAGTGTGCTCCACGGAAGCTCAGTCCTAAAAGGTGCCCTTAGAACCCCCAACAAGCACCTTCACATCTCCGCGGAACCGCAGAGGCCCCAATCCATGTCAGACTATGGACCCAGATGGGAGAGAAGCACCATTAGCACTCGAGGCCCGAAAAGAGGCACCCCAAAACAACCCCACAGGGGACCCACCAGGAAAAACAGCCCTGGCAGCAACTAGGTCCCTGTATTCCTACAGGCTCCAGGCCGTGAGGTCGGAAATATACACTTGGTTCCTCCCAGGCCTAGTCTCAGGGTGGCTGCTTACGAGGGTCCTTCCGGGACCACGCTTCCCAGAACGCACCGCGAGGCGCACGCGCAGGAGGGCGACGCAGACCGATTTGCGTCATCCGAGGGCGACTCTCCGATGGCACCGGGCCGAGAGAGAACTACAGACCCCAGGCTGCCCCGCGAGGGGAAGGACAAGGAAGGCGCCGCTCGGCCGGTCCGCCTGTCCTCCCCTATTCTCGCGATGGTTGGACCACGTCGTCAAGCCCAGCCCGGAGAGGCTGCTAGTCCCGGAGGTGGGGCGCAGGCAGCCGGGTGGGCCAGTCAGGGCGGAGCCGACGAGACGGCGGAAGCGGCGGACGGCGGGGAAGGGGGCGGGGAAGGGGAAGGAGGCTGGCCCGGAAGAAGGAGAAACCCTGAAAAGAAAACAGCAACAAGCCCTGCCGCGGTGACAGAGGGGAGCAAGATGGCGGCGCTGAAAGGGAGCTACTGGGTCCGGGCCCGACTGGGACTCCCGCCGCTGCTGCTGTTGACCATGGCCCTGGCTGGGGGCTCGGGCACCGCTTCGGCCGAAGCGTTTGACTCGGTCTTGGGTGACACGGCGTCCTGCCACCGGGCCTGTCAGTTGACCTATCCCTTGCACACCTACCCCAAGGTAGGGCCCGTCCGAACCGGTCTTCCGCCCTTCCATCGCCGCCCATCTCTCCGCTGCGTGCCCCGGTGTGGGCTCTGGGACCCTAGCGCTTCCGCCGCGGCCTCCCCGGGGGTATAGCTCCGGTTTTCCTCCTAAACCCCGTCTGCACCCCGCTCCTGCTGTAATTACCGGAAGTTTGTGCTCCTCTCCTCGGTGATAGGTGGGCAACACAAAGAGGGGGAAAGACGCGCGACCCCTTTCCTCGGTGGGGAACTCGAGGGCAGCGGCGGGGGCCGGGGCCGGGGCCGCTCGGATCTGGAGCACCGGGTCCAGACGTGCGTGGAGCCCTCGCGACGCGAGCTGGGAGGCGCAGATGCACCCGTCCAGGAAAGGCTGATGGCCACCCCATATTCGCTGCGGGCAATCACTGTAGTCTGAAAGTGTTAAGTCAGCCCCCAGGAGTTGTTTGAGACGTACAGGAAAGACTTCCTGCCTGTGTTGAGTTACTCTGTGCGAGACGGCGCCACTAGGAATTAGAATGTCTTAAGAATGGCAGCTTTCTGCCTTCAATAACTTGCGCCCCCCCCCACATTCAGGAGACAGGAAATCCCGTGGGGTGGGTGGGGAGATGCAACTGGCCTCGGGAAGGGGGTGTCCATTGCTTAGGAGAGTTAACCCCATTCGCATCCCTAATCCCTTCACCACTTCCCCCACCCGCCCCTCAGTTGCTCCCTTGCTTTTGATTTTCTCTTAGGTTTTTCAGCGTCTTAAGAACTGTTTACTCAACACTCAAAATTGCTTGGTGACTCTCTCCACACCTTCCCCATATGTAATTTGGGTGTATTCCCCTCCTCCACTCTGGAGTTATAAATAAGTACTCATGCCGGTTGGCTGGTCTTTCTCTTGTTTTTCTTTCATCCTCTGTATACTATTTGCTTAGCTGTAGTGTCTAACCCTCTGCCTTCAACTACTACAAAGTGGCTACAAGGACAGTGCCAGTGACATTTGCTTACTAGGTAGGGCAGGCGTGTTTTGAACTCTCTGCCCTTCCTCAGCCTCCAAGTGCCAGTATTACAGCTATGTACCACTTTGGTTCAAAATATATGGATTCTACTATCTGTTAGGCAATATAATGGGCTATACCATACCGTTATCTCTAATCCTCAGAATAATCCTGCAAAGTTTGATTTAATAATTAAGTTGAGGCTTAAAAAGTTAAGTGACTTTCCCAAAGTTCCATAACCAAGAAATATTTGACAGAAATTTGATCTTCAAATTAGCTACACTGTACTGTCACCTCCTTGTACTCACCTCCTTGTACATTGGGTTACAAATAGTTACTTCACTGATTTCTGTCAGTTCTCCATTGTATGTGTGCCTGCTAGGTTCTCATGCATGCTGTACATGCACTCTGCAAACTGTGTTACACCTCAGTCTCTTACTGAGGTGTGCAGTTCAGGGGAAAGCAGTGTATTGTTTAAAAAAAAAAAACTAGATAAAGCCAGGCACTGGAGGCTCAAGCCTGTCATCCTAGCTCCTCAGGAGGCTGAGAGCTGAGGATTACAGTTCAAAGCCAACCTGGACAGAAAAGTCCATAAGACTCCTATCTCCAGTTAACCACCAAAATCAGAAGTGGCACTGTGGCTCAATGTGATAGAGCTCTAGCCTTGAGCAAAAGAACTCAGGGACAGCACCCAGGACCTGAGTTCAAGCCCCATGACCAACTGAAAAAAGAAGGGAAAAAAATTAGATCAATTCACAAGTTCTTATAACTGCTCTTGACCTGGTACCTGTAATTAGAAAGTAGAAATCTCATTTTAATGACTGTTTTTCAGAATTACTTGTTGTAAGAAAATAGAATGCTCTACTTGTTTGTAAGTAGCTATTTTAAAATTGCTGAATTTTATCTTGTGTCTTCAGAAATGTACTAGCGTAATTTGTCTGGCTTCAAAAACAAGAAATATAAGTCCTGTTAATAACAAAGCTAATTAGAATCACTGGCCTTTTTTTTAATTGAGTTTGGGCTTTGGAACCATGCAGGCTTGGTTTCAGCTCCACTATTGCTCCCTGTATGTCCGTATATGTTACACGCTTAGCACAGTGCCTAACACACAGCCACATATATTACCTGATATTCAATATGATTAAAAGCACTATTTTCCTTGTACTGTATATTGGAGGAATTAACATTTACATAAGCTTGCCATCATTTACAATTTGTACAGCATAAAATATTTATTATATAGAATAGGAAGTATTTGGATTTGATTCTTAATACCTATCGAGTGCCTAGTCTGTGCAGGTATTAAATAATATATTAGGTGTTTACACAGTACCTGGCACATTATTTTATTATTATGTTAATTATTAATGTGATATGTTTATTAGATAATACAGTATGATAGTAATCTTAATTAGATGTGATTTTATAATTCTCCTAATGTGTAATCAAGACTGACTTCAGCATGCTATGTAGTTTCAGCATACCATATGGTTTTGTGAGCTTTAGTTCTGGTTATCTTTTGGGATTGGTTTAGTAACTAAAGGTATATTGGCTTACAACTATAATCTCAGCACTCGGAATGCAGAGGCTTGGAGCTTGAGTTCAAGACCAATTTGCCGTCTAGCAAAACCTTACCTTAGGGGGAAAAACATATCTGAAAATATAATGACAGTATTGATGGTGTCCAGGAGCTCATGCTTCCTCTGTACAATAAAAGGAAATATGTTGGTGCTTCAAATACAGGAGAATTATTTCACCATTTTGAAAAGCCTGCAGATTCTATTCAGTATGAAGTACATCTTAATTATTAGAGTTCTTTAAATTTTCCCAAATTAAATACAGGTAGAGCTGAGGTCCAAAAAGATACCACTTTCAAAATTGTATAATAAAGGTATTTAATATTAAACTTGCAGCCACCTCTTCTTACAGATGGTTGCTGCTGCATTAATTTTAATAATTCTTCTGCTGGAAAGAAATGCATACTATTACACTCCATTGGATGCTAACTGGTGTATACACATGCTGTTTCTTTATTAGTTGCCTGCCAGTTTGTACACAGTGGATCACACAGTAAGTTGGGGGCTCCCTATATGCACTAGTTTGTTTCAAGTACTGTATGTATTTCAACAAGGGAAAAAAAAACTGAAGACATTGTTATTAGTTTTATTAAGCAATTGCTATTTTCTAGTAATGAGGAATCATTTATCTCATTTTTGCCCAACACACATACACCATGATGCTTGTCTTTATTTTTTAAATCTATTATGATTAACACTACCATTAACTAAGCACCTTTCGATGTCTCAGGCACTGTGCTAAGAATAGCAGCTTCCACAATTATTGAGGAATCTGGAGATAATAGCTATTGTCTCTTTTTACAATGAAAAAACAGATTTTAACAGATAAAATA